CCTTCCTTCCTTCCTTCCTTCCTTCCAACACAAGCATATTACATTTGATGAAGAATAAGAAAAATAAGGTGATCAGATGCTGCCCTTAAAAAAAAGATCTTGCAGGTTACTTTTGCATCACTGCCCAGCATATGTTAGGCTTCTTGCAGGAAAATGCCCACATGCTCAGAGCAATGAATGGCTCTGTCCATTGGAGGAAGCCAGAGGGAGATGAGGGTCTGAGCTCAGTGAGCATTGGAAGTGCAAATGTCCCCTTCCTGCAAAAGCAGAAGCAGGAAAGGCTAGCGGAGAATGGCTTTGGGCCTCGGGGCTCTTTTTCCACCCCATCTTCCAGGCTGAGGGGTGGCTGCTCCTCCTGGTTGTGGGCTCAGCCTCTGCCATCATGCTCCAGAAGTCAGCATGTCTGCACCCAAGACAGGTAATCCTCAACTCACATCCATTCATTTAGCAACAATTCAAAGTTAAAACAGTGCTGGAAAAAGTGACTTATCAACCCGTCCTCACGCAACTGTCACTGGGTCTCCACGGTCACATGATCACAATTTGGGTGCCTGGCAACCGCATGTGTTCATTGCTGTTGCAGCATCCTGGGCTTGCGTGGTTGCCATTTGCAAGCTTCCAACAGACAAAGTCGATGAGAAAGCTACCCAGAAGGTTGCAAGTGGCATTCAGGCAATGCCTCGCTTAAAAACCTCCCCCCAAAAGTTCACAAAATAAGGTGCAATTGAGCGATGCCTTGCTTAACAACTGCACCTCTTAATGATTAATTTTATGGCCTTTTTTGTGGTTGTAAGTCAAGGGTACCTGCATAAGAGTTCAGTTTGCCACATTCTCTCATTGTGTGTAGAGATCAAGAGGCAGTCATGGGCCCAAAAAGATGTGCCTGCTTAAAAGCAGCAGTGGCATTCCAGCATTAGGAGCTCACTCCCCAGTGCAGTGAGGGGTCTTCTCCATCTGGGGAGTCCTTTGTGCCTCCCTGGGAGCCGTGGGCTGAAGCGGCAAAAAATTGGCTGGGCTGAAATGTTTTTCTGTCAGATTTCCCAATTTTGGAAGAGGCCAAGGATTGTAGTTGGGATCTTAAGGTTGCACTCATTTTGCCTGGGAGGCAGGAAATCTGCAGGCAGGCAGCCACAAGAGTCAGGATGGTGGCCCAAACCATCAGGGCTGTGACCAACTACTGGGCCACGACCTATTTGAAACTGAGCTGCAGGAGAGATGGGCAAGTGTGTGTGATGCTGTACTTGTGCGAGCATCAGGCATTTGCATGAGCAGAGGGCACTAGCCCTTGCGTGTGCTTCATTTGCACAAATGGAGGGCACACGCACCTGCCACTCACACAAATGTATGGATGCCTGCCACTCACACGCCTCCCCCCCCCCTCCCGGTGCTGGGCCGGGCTGCCAAGCCGGAAAGGTTGGGGGCCGCTGCTTTAAAGGTAAAGTAAAGGTTCCACGCACATATGTGCTAGTTGTTCCCAATTCTAGGGGGCGATGCTCATCTCTGTTTGAAAGCCGAAGAGCCAGCACTGTCTGAAGACGTCTCCGGGGTCATGTGACTAGCATGAATCAAAGGCGCAGGGAACACTGTTACCTTCCCACCAAAGGTGGGTCCTATTTTTCTACTTGCATTTTTACATGCTTTCAAACTGCTAGGTTGGCAGAACCTGGGACAAGTTACAGGAGCTCACACCATTTACACAGTGCTAGGGATTCAAACTGCCAAACTGCCAACCTTTCTTAGCCACTGAGCCACCATTGCTTTAGGCCAGTGTAAATCTGGCCCATCCCTCTTGATCAAAAAGCTTGAGTTACTACTACCAGGGGGGGGGCTACAATTGTTACCTATCTTGATTTTTTTACATGTCCCCCTCCCCCATGGTGGGCAGTCTTCCATGGCTAAGCTCAGCCAGCCACCCCCTCTGCCTCTGCAGCTGCTCAAGAGAAATGGATGGATGTTTCAGCCGACTGAATCTTTAATGTGGGGAGATGACTCTGCTCCCCACCCCATTAAAGAGAGACCTAAATGATGGGTGTGAGGTACACCGGAAGCATCTCGCCCCTTCTGCAGGTCAAGAGAAAGGCCTCTAACCAGAAACAGGCCTAAAATAACTAATGGGTAAAAGAAGGCATTTGATACTGTGGGTATTCCTCACCTTACAACCATTCTTTTAGCAGCCATTCAAGGTTACAGCGGCACTAAAAAAAAGTGACTTACAACTGGTCCTCGCCCTTATGACTGTCTCAGTCTCCCCATGGTCATATGATTGAAACGGACACATGGCAATGGGCATGTGCTTACACGGCTGCAGGGTCCTGCAATTGCCAGGCGCCACCTTCTCTGCCCACTTCCGACAAGCAAAGCAACCACATGATGTGCTTAACACTGGTAGTGTTTCGTTTAACAACCATACCAAGAAAGTCTGTAGAACCAGGCACAATGCACTTAGTGACGGCCTTGCTTAGCAGTGGAAAATCTGGTCCCAAATGGGATTATACGGCAAGGACTACCGGGACTATTTCTCAATCTTGGCAGCTTGAAGGTGACTGTTAACTATGTTGGAGCAGCCGTCTCCGGCCTTTCCAGCTTGGTGGCCCAGTCCAGGGCAGGGGCTTATGAGTGGCAGGTGCATGCGTACACATACAGCTCCATTTGTGTGAGTGGCGGGCACACATGCCCTCCACTTGTGCAAATAGAGCTTTGTGCACAAGTGGAGGCCAATTATGTTCACACGCGAAGCTCTACTCTGCAGGGACTTGCACTCATGTGCAAAGCTCTACTGGTGCAAACATCGTATGCCCTTGAGGGGAGAGTGCTTGTGTTCATATGCAAAGCTCCACATGAGGAAAACTTGGACATTTGCATGAGTGGAGCTTCGTGTCTGAGCACGTGGAGCTTCACATGTGTGCATGCTTTCCCATCCCTCCTGCAGCCCGGTTTCAAACGGGCCAGGGCTTGGTAGTGGGCTGCAGCCCAGGGGTTGAAATCATTCCCACCAAATATCCCATTGGTTGAAATCAAGGGGCAGCTTTTCTGCGGTGCAGATCTGCTCCACTCTCTGCCACCAAAGGTTGTGCAACTGAATCAGCACTTTTCACCTTTTGGGTATTTATTGAAAGCATTGATCCTCCTTCAGAGGGACGGAGCTCCACTTCTGGCCTTGGCTGGTAGCAGGTTTCATCCAGAGCAGCTCTTTCCTTCTCACCAAGAGGTCATCCGGAGGAAATGTTGACAGCTTCCAAATGCCAGGCCAGCTGCTCCCTGCCCAGGATGCCCACCCACCCTTGGCCCCCTCCCTTCAGAAAACCGTGCCGTGAGGGGCCACCAGGAGAGCAAAGGAGTCTGAGTGGTGGAACTACATCATGAGCGAAGTCGCTCGTGTTCAAGTGACCACGGTTGAGAAACACTGGTACAGCAGGTGGTCCTTGACTAATGACCGGTTGCTTAGCATCCCTTCAAAGTTGCAACAGACACCCCACTCCCCAAGGGTATTTATGACCTGGTTCCAAAGTTCTGACAGCCAGGCTTCCTCCCATGGTCATGTGACCACCTGCCAGGTGCTCAGCCATTGGGTGGTACAGCTGCAGCACTACCTCAACTTCCCCTTGAACCCCCTTCTCTGCACCTGGAAGGCTCCCTAAGCGCCCACCTTCATCAGAGGCCGAGGATGGTTGCTCACGTGCCCAGAAGCTCTTCATTTGTGTCGGGAAGAGCCCAGGCCAGCCTGGAAGGATGAGATGGACAACGGAAAAACAAGACATCAATATAGGGAGTTTGACAGGAAAACCTCATTGACACATGAGAAGGAGGGGGGGATCCCATGCTAGCTCTGCTGAAGCTCTGCTAAAACCATGACACACCTTTGTAGGAATCCTTGATCAAAAGACAAGGTAGATGAGCTTGGCCCAAGGAGGCCTGGAGGGTCAGGTGAGGATGGAGGGCTCAGAGTGGTTAGGCAGTTGGGCAGTAGAAAACTCTCAGGGAAGAAGCAAGCAAGCAGGGCCTCTCAGGGGTCCCTTCTGGGAATTCTGCCCGTCTGGGGCTGGCAGCTCCCTTTCCTTTGCTGTGCCTGACAGCCCCCTTTCTCCTTTCCAGGAAAACTGTCCCTGGAGGAGTTCATCAAAGGTGCCAAGAGTGACCCGTCCATCGTGAGGCTGCTGCAGTGCGATCCCAGCAGTGCCTCCCAGTTCTGAGCACCTCCCCACTGCCCAGGAGGCTCTGGGTGTGCCCACCTCCCCAAACAGCACCCACCTTCACCGGGCGTCTCCGAGGAAGTCACCAGCCTCCTCCCGTTCCTGCTTGGACATCGAAGCGAGGAGCACCTGCCAGTCGACTGAATTTTCTTCTGACTCACAGATCTTTCCTTTCTCCCCTCCCTCAACACTGTAGCTTGATGTGAATGTGACACGATGTGGGGTGCACTTGAGGGGGGCGGGCAAAGCCGGAGTCTGACCAGCCAGTCTTCTGTCACCCACCCACCCCGGTTGGGGTCAGCCGAAAGGGGCCGCTCGCCTGCTGCTGGCTCATGGCCCACTCATATTCCCACTGCAGGGCTCCGAGTGCGAGCACAGCTTTTGCTGGTGAAAGTGAGGTCTGTAGCCTGAGGCTCCGGTTGCAAATGCCAACGAAGCCGAAAGGCCACTGAGAGGGACCCCAGCATATGCCTGGACAACTCCCGGTCGGGCAGCGTATAAATTTAACAGATTAGCATAATAAATTATTAAAATGCCACTAAGCCAGATCAGTTATGTATACGAAGTACATGTCTCTGCTTTGCATTGTTTAGGAGGCCCTCAGTGGAGCAGCTCTGGCATTTCCAAGCAGAGTCTGTAATGCTGAGGATCATTTGGATAAGCACCCTTAGGGCTGGGCAGCTGTCAAAAGCGCTTTCGGGGGTTTTTTTTGTTGCTTCTGCTCCTTCCTTCCTTCCTTCCTTCCTTCCTTCCTTCCTTCCTTCCTTCCTTCCTTCCTTCCCAGGAGCAGAGAAGCACCAGAGGTCCAAAACATTTTGTTCCTGCCCAGCTTTGATCTACATTCAGTACCATTTAATGCAAATGACCTTAGCTCATTTTCCACAGCCCACAGCAGACCCCTCCAGAGTCACAGCCACACACACACACCTTCTGCCCCAGCCGCATCAGACCCCCCCCCCCTTGCCAGCCCATTTGATTCTGGTTTGCAGCAGAGGGGGAGGAGGGGTCGTATCTCACCCAGGGTGCATTCAATAGCCCAGCTCCCTCTCCAAGGAACAGAGCACCCCCAAAGCTTTGGGAGCAGCAGAGGGGCTGAGCCCAGAGGGGGGAAGAGACCAGCATGCAGAAGCTGCCAACCAGAGCTTGGTGTGAAAAATGTATGTGTAGAATTATTTGTTGATTGTCTTACCTGCTTTTCATTATAAAATGATCCCAACGCAGCCGCGAAAGAATCACAGCTTGCAGATTTCTTTTGTGCTTGGATGTCCACTCAGAGTTCATTTCCTCCCAAATTACAGAGCCAAATTCTCTGATTTATTGCCACTTGCTTTGGGAGGGACCAAAGAAGCCAGGATGTTGCTGGGTGGTAACTTATGCCCCCCCCCCCATGATGGTTAAATGGTTTTGCCCGCCTCTCCCTGCTTCTTAGGGAAGGTGGCTGGGGGTGCAAGTGTGAGCTTCCTGGGGTGGATGTAGACGTTCGTGCAGGGTTTTAGCCTAGCCAGAGCTCTCCAGCTGCATCGTATCCTGGCTGCAACCTCCCTGCAAGGTGGGCCAAGGCTGAGGGTAACACTTCCCAGAGGAACATCCAGAACGGAGACTGGGGGAGCCGTGGGCCCCCATTCAGACTCTAGCCTTCCTGCAGAGGCTGTCCATCAGGTAGGGAGGTCAGAAACCCAGATGGCCACAGCCATCCAGTCAAAGCCTGGCCCCACCCAGGCTCAGGTACCCATGATGGCTGCCCAGGAAATCCTGCTCCTGGTGAGGAAAGGCCCCACTCCTCTCACAGCACTTGCCAGTCACAAGAAGCCCAAATGCAAGGTGGAATTTTCTGGCTTCAGGTGGGGGATGGACCAGGGGGAGGGGAAATTTAGGAACGGTGCAGAAAGCCAGTGGCCCTGCCCAGTTTCCCACCAGCAGCCAAGGCCCCCTGCCCTCCCTCCCCTTTCAGCCACTGAGCTCCTCCCCATTTCCTGAAGCCAAGGGGGGCAGGCAGGGCACCAAAGCCCGGGCCTCCCATCTGGCAGAAGTGGGGGAAGGCCCTGCTCTCTGGGTGCTGGCCAGCTCTCTTACTCACAAGGGCCCCCCCAGCCATGCATTACCCACCCACCCTGTTTTTTGGACTACTAGCGTCACGCTATGGCCGAGAGGACAGGATCTGTAATAGGGAGGACCACAGTTTGGAGAGAAACATCACAGCAATTTATGAAGCCATCTAGAAATGATGCCCCTCTGGGTCAAACGGGAGCCCTTGATGAGAGAAGCTTTTCCAGGATGCTGGAATTCTAGGCGCTGCAATCCAAGAGGCAGCTCTGCATTTGGGCTCCTGGCTCTTCAAGCAGCAGCGTACATGGACACCCTTGTTCTCTGTGAATGAACCCCCAGAAGCTCAAATGAGGGAACGGCCTGCAAGCTACAGAAAGTGGGAAGCTGAGAAGGAACTCACAAGCCAGCAGGAAAGGAAGGGCCGGGTCTCTGCCAGTTCTTTCAATTAATTGGTTAGATCTTTATTCCATCTTTGGTCCAGGAGTTTAAGGCAGAAAACAATACTCCATCCTCCTGGCATTCCCCACAACAACCCTGTGAGGTAGGTTGGCTGAGAGTATATTGCTGGACCAACATTCCCCCCTCCCCCCAGGGAGCCTCTGGGGCTGAAACTGGCCTGGCATCTCCATTCCTCAGGACGCCAGCTGAGACCCCCCCAATCAGCCTCCTTTGCAGCTGGTTGATCCATTGCCCCTCCCTCCAATCCATTATTTCAGTAGATTTGCATATTTACAGATATAAGCAAAGTGAGGGAGGATTTGCAGTTTTGTCAACAAACCAATAATCTAAAGGCCATTTTCCATGATTTTCAATGGAAACAATTACATGTTTTAAGCTGTGATAACAAAATACAAACTTGGTGAAAGCAACATGTCAGAGAAGTCCGTCCTCTCCCCTGAGTGGCCCAGCTGGAGTCTCTTCTCTGGCCATCAGGCTCCCATCACTAGGAGAGTCGCACATGAGGGTAGGCATATGGGTGCATCAGAATAAAAGAGGAAGAAGTCAGAGCTAGAAACCTCACCCAGAGGACGAGCTGGAGAAATGCACAAACACAAGACGGTCCATTGCTTGGTAGAAACCGCGGCAGCAGACCTCAGCCATTTCTCCCGGCAGGCTCCAGCCCTCCCAGCGATCAGGGAAGTCAGATGGTGACACTGACCAGGGACGGTCGGAAAGGTGCCACAGAAGAGTCCGTGAAGGTTTCGCCTGCCAGGCTCCTCTGAGCAACACGCTTGGCCTCTACAGCTGCACAACGCCCAAGCGCTCCATCCTCAGCAGATCCCGTCCCTCGCGGGAGTCTCTGCTCTGGGCGGTGACGAACGCCAGCGAGATCTTTAAAGCAAAGCAGCGCCATCAGTCAAAAAGGAGGCCAACCCCCTACCTTCCACCCCATTGCAGGACACAAGCATCTAGGGTGGGCTCTGGGGATTGGCTCCGGCCAATGTACTAGGTAGGACTTGGAGATGACCCGCAGCTGTGCCTCTCCTACCCATTAACGACTCCCGCAGGGCACATGAACGGCATCCAGAATCAAAGTCTGCAAGACGCAGCCACAGTGCTGCAACTGACACCCTGCATTGCACTGAAATGACAAGAGGGTCCAGCCCCCCCCTCTTGCAAATGTTGACACAGAAGCACTCCCCAATTTACAATCATTCACTTAGCGACTGAAGTTACAACACCACCACCGAGAAAAGTGACTTACAACCAGCTCTTGCAACTCAACAACTATTGCAGCACCCATACAGCCTTGAGGTCAGAATTCGGCTATTTGGCAACCAGCCTGCATTTCCAATGGCGGAAGCTTCCCAGGGTCATGTGATCCCCATTTGCGGCCTTCCCGATCGGCTTCTCACAAGCAAAGCCAATGGGGAGGATGCGCCCACTTAAAGACAATGCGATTCGCTTAACAACTGTAGCAGAAAGATTGTACAATCCAGCCTGACCCACCTAACATCCACCTTGCTTAGCCACAGAAACTCTGGTGCCAATTGTGGTTGTGAGTCAAGGACTACCTGCCCCCCTCCCCCCATTGGTGTCAAGCCAGCCTCTCCTCATTCATGTCTTGGTGTTTCAGCTGATGCGTATTTTAGAAGCCTTTGCTTTCCCTCCTAACCATGAAGGACCACAAGGCTGAGCCCGGTCCCTGTCCTTCCTCTGCTGACCTGTCTGGCTGAGTCAAGTCAGCAGCAGTGGAGTTGCTGGCTTGTTTTCAACAGGTATTTTTGGTAAGGCCAGATTTAATGAGATGCAAACTGATGAGTAGGTTGCAAACAACCAATTATTTAAATCTGGCCTGATTACTAAGCCATGATTCAAAAGCCTCAAAGGCTCAAATCTAAACCAGAATGCCCGATAAATGCATAATCAGATCCTGCAGAAGCCCAGCATTAGGCCTTCTGGGGAACTACTCTGGGTCTCAACATGAGGAAGCCCCCACCCAGTCTTTGAGCATAAACAGAATGTGGCAATTTGGCTGTGTATTACGAAGGGGAAGAAGGGAATGGAAGCGTATAATAGACCTTTCTCCAAAGCACAGAGGAGGACCTGGGCTAGATCCGGTAGGTCCTAGGAAGCCCTCTCTTTTTTTTCCCCAACTGTCCTCCTCCAACTTTCCGGTGGGCAGGGGGGAAGATTTACCTTCTTCTTGCGCTTCCCCCTGCAACAAAGCTTCAAGTTCAGGATCGTAAGAGTGATAAGAAAGCAGCGGATGCTGAAGATGATCTCCACAGAGTCCAAGAGAAAGGAGATTCCCCAGAGGACCAGGGCAGAACTCTGAGGAGAGGGAAGGGAAGGTCAGAAATACGTCCATCCACTTTCAGAGGTAGAAACCACGGCTCAACTGATGGAGCCACCCACCCAGGCCAACTTCCAGCCACCAAGGATAAGCCATCCTCCCCAGGGTGCTGAGCAACCCAATTGCAGTGCAAAAATGACACCCTCAAAGTATTGCTGAGCCTTTTCCCCTGGGAGCCACTTCAGGGAGACGAAGCCCCCAGTTCTAGAGAAACCCCTTCCCCACCACAGCAGGAGCTCCGGGTCCCTTTTGGCAGACTTACATAGATCCGTGTGGGGTCGAAGGGACACTCGTGGGTGATCTGAATGACCTCCATGTCAGCAAAGGTGCAGAGGGACAAAAGGGCGTGGCCCTTGTTGGCAAAGGTCAGGCCAATGGCCACCGCCAGCCCCACCAGGCAGAAAAGCGAGAGGAGGCTGCTGCTGATGCTGAGGGAGAAAACAGCCCATGCCTGCAGAGAGAGAACTCGGGAGCTCTGGTGCAAATCCTCATTTGGCTAGCAAGACCACACACTAACCGTTACATTTATTTATTTTATTCTTACATTGGTTTTATAAGTTCTCCCATCTCCCAGATGTAATTCTGGGAAGTCATCAGGAAACAACAGGAAAAATATATCAACAGAATAACCAACGGTTGCTGAGGACAAACACATAAAACTTCACAATAACAATCTCACAGGGCATCTAATCTCCCAACCTTCCAGAGGGCAGGGGCTGCCACAAAAGATATAGGGAGCAGGAGGGTTCAGAAAAGATGATAAGCCACAGGCCAGAGCTTACAAAACACAATGGATGGGTTCACTCATTACACAAAACCTTAATCCTTTCTGCTTCAGTGTTAAAACAATTAGCTTAGCAACGTCACAAAATTAATGCAACTTTCCAAATTCATACAATACACAACATACTATGTTACAGTGGTGGGTTCCTACCGGTTCGGACTGGTTTGGCCAAACTATTAGTGCTGACTGCAAGCCGAGAGCGAACCGGTTCTCTGTTTCCATAAAAGTGGGCCCGCCCACCCACCTGCCCCTGGGTTAAACTGAAGTCCAGCTGATCAGTGGTGGCAGATTTAATTGCTGCCCCTCAGCTGTTTCCCTTGCTCTTTTCTTTGTTTGCAATGCGGAAGTTCCCTTTTGCCTAAACTGCGCACGCGCCTGAGTTAAAATATGGCTTCTTTATTTCGGGTTGAGTTTGTGAAGGGAACATAGAGTGATAGATACCTAGGTGAAACTGGCAAAATGGCTTTCTATAGACAGAGGTCAAACTCAGAATAATTCAGAAGTCACTTGAACTTTGGGGAAGAGAAGTCAATTCCACCTCATGTGTGAACTAGAAGCAAGCAATATTATGAATGCCATTTGAGAATTTCAAAGGGTGTTACATGTGATACCACCCAAATGTGTTGGGTTTCCATTCCAACAGTCCTTGGACTGTAAATTCTAGGAAATGGAGTCCAACACAAATGGAAGGAAGGAGACCTGGGAACTGGTGTCCAAACCATTTAAAGCAAGTTTTTTTCCCCAATCTTACCAATTTTGAGCTGTCCCCCATGTTGGCTAAGAAACCTTGATCTAAAGGGCTTCATGTTCACAGAATGAAGAAATTGTTCCCCAGCAAACTAAAGTTTTGGAGCAGGCAGCTATAATACATGTAATCAATCAATCATCCTGCCAGAAATGGCACTTAAGTTCTTCCAGCATGGATAATGGCAAACTGAATGTTTCTTAAGGAAACTATTGCAGAATGGAAGGAAGCCTTTCAGGATGATTTTTATGCTTCCTGGATATTGATCTGCATTTTGGATAGTCTAATTAGTGCATTTTTATATAAGTGACACAATTCTGTGCAATTTTTTCCACTACAGCAGCATTTAGAATTTTCATGTTAGGGAAATAATTTGCATAGATAGATGTTAGATAATTGCACATCTTCCATATGACTTCCCTATATTTTAGTTCATTGTTTTTCTTATTCTATTTGTAGAGGCATTTATATTAAACAGTTCTGTAGTCTGCCTAAAACTCTCCTTACTGGGCATTTCAAAATATAGTAAATAAACCAAGCAGAGCTACATGCAAAGACCCACTTATGGTTCCTTCCCAATAAAAATTTATAAGGGAACTACACAAATGCCCTCCATAGTTGGGAAAGCTGTTTACTTAAAGCATCATTTTATGGAGTTATTGCATGCTCTTGGGTGGGACAGGGAGTGAAGAGCCTGATGACCCTGAAGATAAGCAGGTTATGGGTGTAGTGAAGGTGTGGTAAGGAGAAAAAAATGAGGCTCAAGGTTAATCCATTCTTTCCTAGCGGAATTAGTAAGAGAATCTTCAAACAGTTGGGGGTCTAGCCTATTACAGAATTCTTATCCAGGAACCTAGCTCATTTTCTGACTGCACGGATTTCTGCTCTAAATTGCCACAGGGACAAGATTGCTTACCAGTGGTTTTTGGGACAGGTATCTGGAAAGCACAATAGCTGCTATTCCACAGGTTATTGTCTGTAAAGGGAAAACCAGGAAATTACCCCATGCAAAGATCAGCAGCAACAGCAGATCACAGTACAGCAATGCAATTCCCCCCTCCAGATGTTGTCTTCAAGATAGAATTCTAGCAAATTGAGAACAGCTGATGGCTTTGCAGGAATTAGTTTTGATGATTTCAAGATCTAAAGTGATAGTTCTATTATTCGAAGGAATTTGAAATCTCTGGCAAGGTAATAGCTTTAGAATTATGCTTGCCTTTTGCTACTGCAGAATCATTCCAACTTCAGTCACAACGCATTAATACCACATTTGGCACAATTCCCAACTTTATCATTAAGAGAGAAAGAAGATCAGACGGCACTTATTTTGTGGGTGCCCATCAGAACCAGTAACTGATTTTTGCTCTGTTTCTGACTTTAAAGTAGCAAAGTATGGCAGTTAAAGTGATAATTATTTACATCTTACATTTTTGATTGGAGGCTAACTTATCCAGGGACCCTGCATCATCTGGGGGGAAGAATGAGCTTGCCTCTGGTACACCCTGTGGGCCAAGCCTGCTTCTGCAAGGCAGCAGAACAGGGAGATGGACCGGTTGTTCCTTCCACCAATCCCTCTGTATCGTATAAACCAAGCTACCTACCAAGATGGCCGAGATGGCCAAAATGATGTTAGAAATGGCATACTGCAACGAAATGGTATCTTGAGGGTTGGCAATGTGGCGCAAGACCGTCCCATTGACCAGGGCTCCCGAAATGAAGTTCAGGTGACCAATGACAATCAATATGAGTCCTGTTTTCATCAAGAGTTTCTGGGAGCTGCTGATGTCAATCATATCTGAGAAAGAAACATATTTGTTCCAGTACACAGTTTTGCATCACAAGAAAGGAGGAGAGAACTAGACAAACTGCACAATGTGAAGTTTTGGGTAGCAAGAGCAGGCCTGCTGAGTCAAATCCAAGAGGCATCTCTGATCCTAATGCAGGGGCCAACCTTATCCCTCTGGGAAGCATCTCCCCCTGGTGCTCCTCATCACACAACTCTCAAAGATTTGCTGACTCCTCCCTCCCTCCCTCTTTTCTGAAGCAACCTCAGCTACAAGGAGGATTTCACTTTCAGATGATCATCCCAAGGGTTGGTGAAACATGGTGAAAATATTTTGGAGGAAAGTCACATCTCACAGATCTTGGAGAGCAAAGTGAAGGGGGACCTACCAACAGAGATCATCTGATGAACATAGTTTACTTGGACCTCGGGACTTACTTGTCAAAATCCCTCCCCAAAGGCTCCTCTATGGATTAAGGCAATCTGGGTTATGTGAGGGGGCTTCTGAGGGTCAATAAAGGTGCCGAAAACATTAAAAGCAGGGATGTTGTATAATGAAAGCTGTCCAGATGTTTCCCCCCTAACAATTTATACTAGGATTGCTCTTCTCAGCTTAGTTACAAATGATTTGGCCAAATTTCAGGGAACATCAAATATTTTAGACTGATTAAAGCAAAAAATAATAATTGTAAATGCAATTTAGGGTAAGCTTTAAAAAGCAAGCTATGGTAAATGCTCTGATGCTGCTAGATGTACAGAGAAAAGGAGTTGTTCCCTGAGAGAAATATGCAAGAAACATTGGTTTGGTTTGGTTTATTTGATTTATATGCCGCCCTTCTCCCAAGGACTCAGGGCGGTGTACAACATTAAAAGAAGCACATAATTCAAAAGTAAAAAAAATATTATATATAATAT